TATCTTTCCTCTGGGAGTGTTGCATGCAAGGCTTTTGCATTCCATATACAGGTCCCTGCCTGCCCTTTGATTCAGGTAATTTAAAATCAGCCTGTGATTTCCCAGATATTGTAGCTGCTCAGGTGGCCAAAGAGTGTGCAGCTGGCTGGGTGACTGGCCTTTTCAATTCAGTTTGAGGGTTTCTCCCCTGGGGGTGGTCCCCAAAAATGCCCCAGGTGAGTATCGCTTGATCCATCACCTCTCCTATCTGAAAGGCTCATCGTTTAATGAGGCCATCCCCTAGGAATGCTGCTCTGTACTTCATGCGTCATTTGATCATGCTGTCAACTTAATTCAGGTTTGTGGCCCTGGTGCCTTAATGTCAAAATGTGACTTCAGTCTGCCTTTTGGCTTTTGTCTGTTCAACCTAGTGATGATTGTTTGGCGGGGTTTAAGCTCAATATGGGTTCTGCTGTGTGGACAAGGTGATGACCATGGGCTGCCCAGTGGCTTGTGTAGCCTTCAAGGCTTTCATCACTTTTTGGAATTGGCAATAAAGGACCACATTCATTCTCCCTTCATCATTCAGTATCTGGATAATTTCTTTTGTGGGGCCAGCCCTTCTTGTGCAGAGCACTTGGCCTCTTTTCAAGCCTTGGCTGAGCAGCTGGGGGTCCCTTTGGCAAAGGAGAAGATGGAGAGCCCATTTACATGCATGTTCAACCTGGGAATCTTGCTTGATCATGTTCAAGGCTTCGCCCAGCTTTCTGAGGATATATTGCCCGGTCTTAAAGCCCTTATCACACTAGCGATGGCTCAGCAAAAGGGTACTGTCAAGGAGATTCAGGCCCCTCTGGGTCACCTCAATTTTGCTTGCAGGGTGGTTTCTCCAGGGTGGGCTTTTTGTGCCCATCTGACCAGGGCTACATTCTCCTCACCATCACATTAGGATCACTAGGAGCATTAAGGCAGACTTGTCAGTTTGGTTAATTTTCCTTTCCTCTTTTATCTAGCAAACTCCCCTTGACTTAGGACCATCTTTGCCAATTCATTCGGAAGCTTTTGGCAGCATTGGGTTTGGTGTATTTTTCAATGGCTGCTGGTGTGCTAAGTGTTGGCCCACCACTTGGACAGGGTCTGACATCTTTAGGGATCTTACCTTTCTGGAGATTTTTCCAATTCTGGTAGCAGCTACCATCTGGGGCATGATGTTCAAGGATAGGAGGGTCCAGTTGTGGTGTGATAATCAGTCTGTTGTTCGTGTCACCAATTGCCAGTCCTCACACTCTGAGTGGGTTATGCGTCTGGTGTGTAAATTTGTCCTCCTGTGCCTGTCTAGCAACATCTCCTTTTCAGTGCAGTATATTGCAGGTACTGATGATGACATTGCAGACACCTTGTCTCAGTTTCAGGAAGGAGGAGAGGTTTTTGATGTTGGCACCAGAGGCAAACCACTACCTGGACCCCTTCCCAGAGGAGCTGTGGGATCTTGGGACACATTGATCATGCAGGGAGTATTTAATTATATCACTCCCTCCATACAACAGTCATACTCTTGGGCTGTGGAGGCCTTCCTGCCTTTTGCCTCTTCTAGCAGGTGATATTCCTGGCCATTTTCAGAGACCCTGGTCCTTCAATATCTAGCTTTCATGAGGGAGCACGGCTTTGCACCTTCAACTTTGGCTGTTCACCTGTCTGCCATATCTTCATTTATCAAGGCTCAGAGCTACCCAGATCCCTGCCACTCTTTTGCAGCCCACAGGGCAATTGAAGGGTGGAGAAGGCTTGCTCCTGGTGAACCAGATGATTGCCTTCCAATAACCCATGACATTTTGGCTGTGCTTTTATGGCAGCTCCCAACTTTTTGTTGGTCTGAATTTGAGGTTAGTTACACTGGTATTTTTTTTGGAGCCTTCTGTTGCAGTGAGCTTGTATCTGCATCAAGGCATAACTACTCGATGTCTACCCTGCATGTGCTCCTTCATAGATCCAAGACAGATCAGAAGGGGCGCGGGTCCCATATTTTGCTTAGATCTGCAGGGACCGGTCAGCCTTGCCCTGTGCATCTCTCACTGGGGAATAGCTAGCCATATGCCCTTCAGGGCAAGGTCCTCTTTTCTTACATGCAGATGGCTCTTTTTTTACCCACTTTCAATTCACTTGCATACTTAAGGTTGGGATACCTGGTGGTAGTTTTGATTAAAGGGGCCATCCTGTGGGCTGCACTATGGCAAAGCTGAGATGCCTCTTGTAGTTCCTGGACTATGTATGGCAAGAGTTTCCAGCCTCTTCTTCAATGAAAACTACTTTTGTCTAATGAAAAAAAAATCCCAAAAATACTTCTCCCCCTCCCACCCCAGCATGTTACTGAGTTATGTTCTGTCCTAGAAGCAGAACGGACTAGGGATAAGCACCAGAAATTAATATCAGTGAAGCAGCACAGAGGAAAAACATATGGGAGGTTGTGGTCACACACGCCAGATGAAGTGGAGGGGAAATGAGGCTATTTCCTTTGGAGGAATTTGACCCGCAGTTGTGCAATCACACAGTCCTTAGAAGCTGCGGGCACAGCCCGCCACTGCGTGATCAGATGCAACCATGGGTAAGTCAGGTTTTGGGTTTTGGGGCTGTTTGTTTCTGAAGTGCTTAAATGAGGAATTGATGAATCACATCTCCACACTGAGGGCTCCCTATGGAGTTTGCGATGATGCGCATACTGAGAAGGGGGGGAGGACAATGGCACAGAGTCAGGATGGCCTGATCAAACCATCCCGATGCCATGAGAGCACGCTGGAGCGATCAGACAGGGGAAAGTCTGTCTGTGGCCCGTTGCAACCCGTTTACTACCGGATTTTCCATGATGTCTTTTAACTCCTCTTCTGCAGCGGAGCAAAACGGGTTGCCGACGGCTACGGGGCGCTTCTCAGATGTTGTTGTCTGATCGCACCCTTTAAATCCGCCTGGCATTCGTGCCTATGGCGGGTATAAATGATCGCAGCCGGATAAAAGCTTTTAAAAAAATACACCTAGAGCAGAACTTCCCACAGTCTGGGTTTTCTGAGGCATCTTTCTCAAGTACAGAGAGTGGAGCCATCGCTCAGGCTCCTCCTCTCCCTCCATGGTGATCTCTAGTGAGATTGTTGCCACCTGAGGAAGACCATGCAGCCAGACTGACTCCATCATCCATGCCTTGAAACCTATTCTCTGATAAATGGGGGGTGGGATTTCCGGGGCCACAGCACACCTTTCTTTTTTTCAAGTTATATGGCTTGCCAGAATGGGAGGATCTGTTTATTATGTAGGCCATCCATGGTTTGTTCTGTTCTTCCACTACAGTGTTTCACTGATGAAGGGGGCAGTGAAGGGTTGCACTTTTTAAAAGCTTACAAGTACCGTACAAACAGCTGAAGGACTGTAAAGGGTTAATTCTTCACAGAAACAGGGAGCCTCGAATGACAGGCTGCTCCAAGTAATCTGATTGGTTAGCATCAACAGAGCAGAGAAAGACTTGAGAGCTGAATGCTGAGGAGAAGAATTCATTTGAATTCCAGCCCTGACTGACTTAACACAGACAGTAAAACTGGGGAAAGTTGGCAAGGATGAGTGGGTAGTTAAACAGAGACTCTCATTTAGGCCAAAGAAAGGGGATAGATCTTCTAGTGAGAGGAGAATTTCCCTACCCAGTCAAACAGGGATTTAGCTCTGAAGAGTGCACAGATCGCTGGTCTGATGTGATTAGAAACTGCCTTTAGAGACCTTAAGAGTCCGTTAAAAACTCAAGACAAGTACTGGTGTTTTAAGAGAAGGGGTTTGGGTACTGGAACGAGTGTACCAGCCTTCTGGAAACCAAAATATTCAAAGAAAGTGTACTGAAGTGTTTGAGGAAAACACTGGAACAAAAGCCTCTCAACATAAACATTTAAGCCACTGTGAAAAGCTTAAACAACTCTCATTAGCCTAAACAAAGGAACTAAAGTCTGTATTCCAACCCCTGGTTTCACCCAACCTTTCCCCTCTAGGTTGAACAAAATATTTTGTTATTTTTTGAATTTCAAAATGCCTTGAGTGCCATTTAAATTGTTTAAGTTAAAGCAGGCTCCTGATCCTTCCCTCAGGTTCCTGGGCTGAGCCAACAGCCAAAATATTGTACTGTAACAGGGTGGGGCAGCCAGAGTTCTTCAGCAAAGAAGAAAACACATTACTAGGGTGGCTCAGTCAGTAAAGGGAAAGAAAAATGGAGGGATAATCTTGCCTCTGAGGGAGGGAAGTGGACGGGGCCATCATAGGTGCATATCTAAGTAGAAGATTGCAGGTTTACTCCCTGGCATATCCAGCTTAAAAGTGTTGGGAAGAAAAGGCCGGGAAATGCCTCTACCTGAGCCTTTGAATGCAAATCTGTGTAGATCATTCTGGGCTAAATGGAACACCAGTCTGGCTTCATCATCATATGTTCATATAATGTTGTTTCTCAATCTGCTGTGGTAGTATGTAAATCTGTTGATTCTTCCTGAAGTCCTTTATTCTTTGAATGTGCATGCATAACTGCATGTATTTATGGTGAAATACTACAAGACTGAATATGTCTTTATTTTGTGAAGGTTTTTTTTTTCTGTGACTGTGTTCTATGACTCTTCAGTATATATTTAAGTTTGAAAATGTTTAGCTACTTAGACCAAAATCACACTTCAAGGAAGTTTCCTTTTTGCTACACTGCATGTTGAAATATGACTCATTTAGGTTGTGGCAAGTTGAGTGTGACAAATGTCAGATGCTGGGTCTCTGGTGTGGGAAGACCTTGGCACAACTTGAGTCCATTCACCAGGTAATCTGTAGAGAACTGAAAGAGCTGTTTAATCGTAGATATTAATGATTGAGTGAACTTGTTTTGAAGGGTAGTCCCCATGAATTAGCCCTATCAGAATGTCACAAATACCGTCAGAAACAGCCCAGAATCTTATTCCCTTCTAAGTAAATTTCAGCTAATACTGACTCTTGTTTTTTTGTTTTCTTTTTGCCTACAGGAAGATTCAAGAGACTGTGGTGGGGTCTCTGGACTCAGCCCCTCATTATGGTCAATGGTAGGAATACAGTTGATCCTGCTCTGGCTGTTATCCGGCAGCAGACATTGGCAGTTATGACCCTATCTAAACCAAAATCTGCATAACCAATCAAGATCCTGCCAAAATCTTAGCCTCCTTGCCATTTCACGTGGAAAAGGGGGTCTGTCTGCTCAGACTGCAGATGAATGGCAATGTCCATTACTTGATACCTTGTTTGGGGAAGACTCTGAAGGCACCCACCGTGATTGCATGTTGGCGTGTCAGATCTGTAGATGTGTGTGAATGCTGCATCATCTAGGTCATCAGAACTGAATTCTATGTGTGCTGCTTTATTGAGGAAATGCGGTTTTTCGTAGTTTTGAAGACTTTTATGTAAAGGGCTCCCCTTGAAAGTTTTTTTCATAATTTCTATTTTATCTTAGCTTTGAATCAGTTACACTCTTTATTCTTTAAAACCAATACTTGGGGGAAACCCTGTCATTTACTTTAACGCTCTTATTTAGAACACTGGCGTTTTATTGTCTGTTTCAACATCACTTGTATCCAGATTGCAGAATAGACTTCAGTTTCATACAGAATGGTTTTATTGAATAAAAACACTGGCTAGGCATCTACAGAGGTTCCACCATAACTTAAAATGCCTTATGATGAATTATAATTTTTTCTGCTAAAAGTACTCAGAATGGATCATCAGCTAAACTTGGATTAGGTTCATGAAATGCAAAAATGAAATGATATAATCCTGAAAGGTTCTTGAGAATGTTATACTGCAACAGAGAAGATGGTTTTCATCTCAAACTCAGTATCCATTCCTCACTGCACAGTTCTTGGCGTCCTCATCATGATTCCTGTGATCAACAGAGCAGTTACTTACTGCTAGCCAAGTCCTCCAAAATGTTCAGATGAAAAGTTTGTGAATAAAAATGTCTTTGTGGATATTGAATGTCGGTTTCCAAGGGTATTTTGCATGATGATGAAGCTATTGCTTTGCTGTTTTAATTTTTTTAAGTTTGGAGATTTTTTTTTTTGTTTTCTTTTGACGGTAGAGTATTGTTTATTGAAAAGGTAACTGAGTGATTCTTTTGTTGTGTGAAAAACCAAATATTGCAGTGTGATGCAATTTAATCTTAAATTATATATTGTTAAACAAGTATCTGAATATACTGTGCAATGTGAACCCTGAAAAGAGGTATGGTACATTTAGTTGTCTGCAAGAGATTGGTTTTATACAGACAAAAATACTCATTTAAAATCCCCTGTACATGTATTTTAAGGAAATTAAATTACATGCACTTATTTTTGAGGTGTATGTATGCTCCAAGTTGTACCTGGGGAAGTTTTCCCACTTAGTACCTGAATGTAAAGTATCCAGCATTTCTTGTTTTACTTTAAAAATAACATGCTGAGAATGCTGAGTTTCACCAAAATGGTAGCAAAATCTGAACAAATGGGAAGGCTTGAATCTCTATAGATGTGTAGTGATACTTGGTTGTGAATAGGGGTTTTTAAAACTGTTTTATACAAATCTGGTGAGAAATCAGATCACTGGGTAAATTAGGTTACAGTACAGAATACTGCAGCACAGAATAGAATATGTTAGTCTCATTTTCCCCTGCTTTTCAGAACTAGCCGGTATTGCAAGACAGCTAAATCTATGAATGTACAACTTTGCTAATATTGTGCAATTCTTCTGATAGCTGCAATATGCAATTATTTTCTTTTCATGATGGCACCATGTTAAAATGAAAAATGCTGACAAATGACTCTAACTTTGAGTACAAACTCTTATGGAATGGGTTAACACATAGCAACTATTTATTTAAACATCAATTTTATTGGTCACTTGGCTTTAAATTTGGATGTCTACTATTAGTCATACCCTGCACTGAATTGTTTTCAAGTATCCTTGGCTCCATCTTAGCTTTTAAAATCAGAGATGGCAGAAGTGTGGAAACTGAACAAAGTTCTTTGTTTGAAAATACATGTGGTCTAAAGTAAAAGAACAAATGGAAATAATTCTGCTTAATTCTTCGGGAAAGGGAAATGATTTTAAAATGGCAGGTGATGGATCATGAAAGAGACCACCCCTTCTGCTGCCATTGCTGCAGCTTTGTTGCCTTTAGCCAGTCATAAAGTCAGGGTATTTCTTTATATTCAAGAAACATTATCTTTATGATGATGGTATTCATGGGGTAGTAAAGTGGGTTTAGCATTTTTAGATTTTGACGGGCGTGTTTTAATTGGTGTCTTATTTTCAGTCACTAGAAAGATTGGTGGCATGTCAAGTGCTGCGTTTCATTACTTCTACTTTCTCAGTAAATGGAACAGATCTTCACTATTGTCTGGATGGTGTCAGGAGTAAGCTTGCATTGTACTGGCTGACCCCAATTTTAAATTGTGCCTTGGAAGGTTATAGCTATAGCAAGTGGTACTGAGAAGGCAGTACCCTCAGAATTCCTTTACTGGGTAAGATCATTTTCCATTTTGTTCAGCAGATGGACACAGATGCTTTTAAGGAAGAGTGACCAGGAAGGCATGATTGAGACGTCAATCCCTTTTGTTAGTCCCCAGCACTTTAATAATAAAATCACTCTGATTATCCATAACATCTGAACATTCACTCAAAGGAGAGGTCACAAAAAACATCTTCCCACTCCTTCCTCTATCCCATTCAGTGTCCACCTCCTAGGATGAACATTAGTGCTGAACCCAAAAAGGCAATGCTTTTTGCCATAGCTTTCAGTGAAAGGTGGGGGCTCAAAAAGAGACAAAAGTTTAAAATGTTCCAAGTGCTCACACTCTGAATTAGATTTGTGGTATCATCATGTAGCCAATCTGATTTACTGTCTGGGCATTGTGACAGCGTCATGCTTGCTACACGTTCTACTATTGGCTGATATGACACCACATGAAGAAGCCCCTACAACAAGTGGTGTAGAAGGAGCTGCCAATGGGCAGCCAAAATTTCTGAAAACAAAGGGCAAAAAATGTTGAGATAGAGGAAGGGTTGGGGACATTTCTACCCCGGTAAATGCTGTTTATACACTTTAAAAGTCCCAGTTGAGCTCAGCCCTAGATAACCGAGGTGGCCATTACTAGATGGCAAGTTATGGTGTGAGTATAATTAAGTGATGAGGAGTGTATTAAGTGACAAGAAGAATCTTACCACACTTCCACATCTAATCGGAAATCTGGGGAGATAGAGGAGTAGTAAAAATTTTCCTTTCTACTTGGTGAGATGTTGTAGGCAACTGGTTCACCAAGCAGTTACAGGTCACTTGTATTTACCAAAGAAAGGAGCTGGAGAGACTCCTGAAAAGCAGACTAGAGAATCCACACTAGGCTAACTGTTGGCCACAGAAGCAAACTCCTTGTACTGTCAAACAAATGCATATGTGTACACATGCTAGGCAGGATCTGGAAGATGTCTGTATTGAGGAAAGTCATCTTCTAATGAAAAAATGTTTTAAAGAATGTTATGTCTTAGAGGCATCATGTAGCCAATCTGATTTACAGTTTGGTAAACCAGGAATGGACAGCATAAGCCCTCGTGGCCACATTCAGCCTACCAAGGCTCCCCCCCCCCCCCCGGTAGTCTTGCACTGCCATCCTGTGGCAAGGGGCAGCTCATCAGAGGGCCACATTTTGAGAGGAAGCCTGTTCCAAGGGGGTAACCCTATGTCAGCTTGGTTGTGCCTGTGGCTTTGTGTCACCTGTTTTTAGTAGCCCTTTTGAAAAATACAAGCAGCTGGCCATTGATGGAAGGAAGCAGAATCCAAACCTTGAGATTTTCCATAATGTTCAAATATTGGATTTTGGAGATATTGGAGAACTGAAAGATCCCTCGTAACTATGGCTTAGATCCAAACTACCATGAACAGATGCCTTCTCATGGAGCAGGGATCCTCCTACTTTATTCCCATTAGAGTCCTTTGTTGGCCCCTCCAGGTACACTGTTTGTTGGGAAAGGCTCTGTAACAGCATGCTATCTGGGGGCAACAAGGGGCTGTAGCTGAAGGGAAATCAGGCGTTCGCCCTGCTGCTTGCACACCCAATTATTTGAATCCCTACCACAGTCCATGAAATAGGGTATTCAACCCCTCAACCATCCCACGTTTTCACTGAAGTCACCCTATGAATACTGAAAGTATATCTCTAAGAAACCATGTATGTTGAAATTGTATGTGAATTCTATGTCTTGTGACCAGACTTGACGTTAATCATCCTTTTAAAAGTAAGAATTGGTGGGAGAGGTTCAGATTATATTACTCTTGCATATAGCATTTATGACAAAGTATATTGCTGTTTATGTCACTCCTTCCTGCTCTGCTAAGGTACATAGAGGAGCTCTTTCAATGGGTTTTGTTTCTGCTCCAACTATGAACCCCTACTGTATTGTCTGTCTGTCCACTATTCCTGTCATTCTAGTTCTGTTGTGAGTGAAAAAGAAAGCCAAGTAGCTGGCAGATAGAAGAGTTTCACTCTCCTTCTTTTCCATTGGAACAACCAGCATTACTGCCAAAACACTGAGTGTGATCCATATTTGTATCAGGTTTTTAACATAACATATATTTCACAAGTTTGACTGAGGAGATTTTTAGGTCTTGTACCATTAAAGATTTTAGTATGATCTCTTTACATGTTTCTAATGCTTGAGGCTTTATTGCTTAAACTTGATGATAACGAACAGTGTTGCTGCCATTTGTAAGTTTTCGTATATGCTTCCTTTTACTGACTTTAAGCACTGGCCTTATGGGGTTCAAATAGGCAGTATCCCTTTTTAAAGTGACCTTTGCAACCCAAGTGTTACTTGCTGTTTTACAGTTTTCAGGATATTTTACAATACATGGAAATGTTTCATTCCTCATCCCTTCTGTCTCAACCCTTGGGAAGATCAAGCCTAGGTTTTCAATCGGTTCCTTTGCCACATGGTTGCTGCTCCCCCATGGTCAACTCCCACATTATTTGGGTTGCCCAGATCATGTGGATACTTCCCACATTAGTCTACAACCTCTCCATTGAGGTGTCAATGGAAGGTGAAATTCAGTTCTTTTCAAGGTTGACTTATCATCTTACAGTATCATTTTTACATGGTAGGTTCACAGAAGAGAAGCATGTAGGAAGTTTTAATTTCCATTCATATTTTCATTTTAAATCAACAGACTTGTGCTTGTGGGTTATGGTAAATTGATTGCAGTAGTAGCCTCTTATCCTCTGTGAGGGCCAGCCATATTCTTGAGTTAGAAGTCCATCCCTGCTGCCAATTCTCATCTTAAAAAATCCTTTGTCATCCTAGCAGCTAAGAACCAAAATAGACATGATGGAGATCATAAATCTCCAGTAATCTGGTCAAGTGAATTGCATGCACATGCAACTATGATTTGGATTGGGCCCACCGCTACCACCATATATGAGTGTGGCACCTCACCCCCAGCCTCCTCACTCTGAAGTCAAGGCCACTCCACACCCCAGACCAACAAGGCTCAATTGCTTTCGACTATGATGGACCTCCCCTCTTGAGAGGGCTACCTCTTTATCAATGGGTTCCTTCCCAGTGGAGAAGAGACAATTACAAATAACACTGCTCCACACTTCAATCTTCAAGGGAGTTCAACAAAGATTTATTAAAAGTGAAGGCAAGATAAAAGCAGAAAATTAATACATTTGTTGCAGTGGACAGACAAGTCCTGTAAGCAACCATAAAAAGTCCTTACAATGGTGTAAGCTGATGTCCTGACTAAGTAAAGCAGTCCTCATTAACTTTGGAGCCCTCTCTCATGCTGAGCTGCAAAACAGTGCCCCCACCGCAAAGAAGAGAACGAAGAAAAAAAGACTCTGTAAATCGATAGCAGGGAGAGAATGGCTGGCAGGAGAGAGAGAGAGAGAGAGACTGCTGCTCACCAGGAGGAAGATTACCATTTACAATCTTTCTTTAGGCCATTGCTGCCACCAATTAAGGCCAAATGATTGACTGTTATTTACAGCTGTAGCTGTTTAGGGAGGAGATGCCAAACCTTTATAGGTTTACTCCAAAAGTCCAAACTAAATGTGCTTTACAAACATTAAGTAAGCATCTGTTTTTAAAAAAACTGAACTACCAAAGTGGTTTATGCTTCTAAGTTTCACTTCAAGCATCTAAAAGGGAACATATCATAATAACAATATTTCCATACTATGGGTAAGGGGCAGTTAGCCATTGAACATTCCACTTAGTTTTGGTAATCAAAACAGGGCCTCCCACACGGCTTCTGATGATTTTAAAGGAGGAAAGGCAGAGGGTTTTTTTTGGGGGGGGGGGAGATTCATTTATTTAAGAGGCACATCTTTTTGTTGCTGTCTAATGCTGCTAATACTAGCAAGATTCAATCAGTGAAACCTAGAGTGTGTGAGGGGTTGAATACCCTTTTCCCTTCACACAGGCCCTGATGCAAATCATGCTGCATATGTACACAATTTAACTTTACCAGACTGGAAAAGATCCTTATTTACCACCAGGTCAGTTTGAGCCCTAACCTCAATGTGGAATTTTAGACATTACAAATGCAATATGGGAACTAACCACAGAGAGCAGCAATCATCTTCCCAAAGTCTAGCCAGGCTTAGGATACTTCCATAGCTGTTCATCTGAAACATCTACGTACTCATCCTGAGTAATCAATACAATAATCATCTACTCATCCTGAGTAATCAATACAAGTAGGAATTCCAAATTGCAAACAAAAATAAAAAACAGAGCTTTCTGTGATAATTGTATCTCCAGAATAGAGAAAATATTCTTAATACTTCAGGCCTGTAACTAGGGTGTAGATGATTAGACTAAGTAACCGAAGCACCGTGTCAATACTATACACTATGTTTATGAGATACTATTACAATACTATTATAATAAAGGCTATATAAACTTCAAGAGTTAAGATGGTTTGTTGTTTACATGCAATAATACACCATTAACAATGCATATATTCTAATAATACAATGCCACAATTGCAAAACTCATCGTTCCATCAGAATATACAAAAGGAAAATAATTCATATACAAGCTTAAAGTAACAGTATTTCTTTTTTTTTAAAGCCCCCGGGGGGGATTTTTTTATTGATTTTTTACACACTCCAAAAACTAGAACAGAAAAAAGGGAAAGGGAAAGCTACATATAAGGGAGAAAGGAAAGAACCCACTACTAACTAAAAACCCGAGAGGAGATCTCCAACTAGCTTTTTATACTTCATTCAGACTTTTCATCTTTGTACTTCTTATGAACTGTGTCAATCTTTTAACCCTTTTAACCATCCCCAGTTAAATTTAATTGCCCAGTAACAGTATTTCTTAAATCATACATAAAAGGAGGGCAGGGAGCTGTTTTTGTTGGCAGAAAAGGATAGGACTCGCAACAATGGTAGGGCTGCCAAATGCAGCCGGGGGGCGGGGAATCGGGGCCCGGGGGAAACCCCACCCCCGCGTGCACGTCACCCGGAAGTGACGTCGCACGCTGGGGGCGGAGCCACGCCGTTTGAGGGGAAAACAAAGAGTTTTCCCCTCAAATGGCAGCCATTTTGTATATTCTGTTTGAACAATGAGTTTTGCAACTGCAGCGTATTATTAGAATATATGCATTGTTCATGGTGTATCATTGCATAGCATGTAAACAACAAACCATCTTAACGCTTGAAGTTTAAATAGTCTTTATTATAATAGTGTCTCATAAACATAGTTCATAAACATAGTTTCTCCTTATTATAGTCTTTATTATAATAGTGTCTCATAAACATAGTTCATAAACATAGTTTCTCCTTCTGGTAGTTCATAAACATACAGGGTGCTTCAGTTACTTAGTCTGTAACTAGGGTTGGCAGCTGTCAATGGCAACCCCCTGACCACTGCCACCACTACATAGGATGGGGGAGGGGAATGAAGGGAAAAAAGTTGCATCAGCAGCATGACACCACTTCTAGGGTGAACCCAGAACTGACATTCTGGGATTTAGTGGAAACTTTGGCAAAATCATAGAGTTTCTGCTGAATCCTTGAGGGGCTTGATGTCACTTCCAGGTTCATTCCAGAAATGACATCACACTATTGATGTGACCGTGCCCCTGTGTCCTCACCAACTCCCAGTCTCCTGCCAGGTGCCAGCCATTGGCTGGCAACCCCAATTGTACTATAGGCTACGTCTCTGGGTTGCTGGTTTGTTTTTTCATACCACCATGTTAATATTGTTAATAATTGCTGTAGACTATTGTAAAAAGGATTTTAAAAAATTGTCCAGGGTTTCAGAAGCTAGCTGCAGCCCTCTTGTGTTCTCTGTAGCTCTTTCTAATGTATAAAATTAAAGCTTGCAACTTGAAGGGGGGAAAAATTGCATCATGTTGAAATGCCGACTGAACTTCCAGTTTGGCTCTGATGAAACTATCTAATCTTCTTGTGTTATCTGGGATGTCTCAATCATGCTTCTGGGAAATACATTTACAGAAATGTCCAGTGCGCATTCTGACAAGAAAATAAAAATTAAAAAATGGGCAGAGAGGTTTCTTTTCTCCCTTTTATTATGTTCTTTTAACACTTTTGTGGAACTTGGCAAGCCTGAAATGAGGAATAAAAGCAAAACATTTTGTAAAAATTTGTATAATACTGTTATAAAATTTGTAATCCTACAAATGGTTGTGTTTAATTATTGTGGAAAAACAGTATATTCAGAATAAAAGTTTATCATTGGAAATCTGGTGCCAGTGTTCACGTATTATGATATTCTTTTTCATAACAGAATGCAATCAATCTAGCTGTTGGATGGTTATCTTTTTTAAAAATAATTTTATACTTAAGACATTCTTGACATTATATAGCTGCAAATGACACACACACCCATGCACCTGGTTCTGTTGGTCTGTGTCCACCCAAAACACACTTCCAGTTTCTCCTTCTGGTAGTTCACATCATATCCAACATTCAAAAATATTGTAGACATCTCCCCATTGTTGGTTTGATTTTTTAAAAATGTTATTAGTATATTTAATTATTGACATGGCCCCATATGTGGATACTTAAATCCAGAGATAGGAGCCATGAGCAGACAAGAGAGATATTTCTACACACCTGAGGAAGGCCCCAGGCTTATAGAAAAATCTGAAATCTGCAGGGGGGAGGGAGCACCACCACTATCAAGGGGTTAAAAAGCCCAACACAAGAGATGCAGCCTTTAAGAAATAATTGCCCTCTAAGATCTCAATGGTCATTGTGGGTGTTGCTACATAACCACAACAATATTGCCGGGCTTCAGATCTTAGTTTCTGTCAGTAAAAAGTAGGACAGAGGGCCCTTTCCAGGGCTATTTTGCCCTTCCCTCCTACCCTTCTCCTTTCCCTCCTGCCCTGGAGGGAGACTTCATCAGGGCCAAGGCCAGGGCCAGCAGCAACCGCTGGGCAGCTTGCTACCATACAGTTTGCACAATTCACCCTAGTGTCATGGGGGCTACCAGACAACATGATGCCACATTCATGTGGGCCCAGTAACAACTTTGTTCAACTTGAATAACTTGGCCAGGCCCAGCAGTGGTCATCACACAGCTTACCTGAGCGCCTTGCTACTGCACAACTTTTGCAACTTGGCCAGCTTTTTCCCAGGGATAGAAGCGCAGCTACATGCATGCATGTGTGTATGCATAATTTGCCTTGAGTCTCAGTGAGAAAGACAAACTATTTTATCAATATTATAATAAAGAAATGTGTATGTGGGAGATTTTTAGCTGCCAGAATTAAAAGTCCCCACAACTTGCTGAAGAATGGGATTGGGGTTGAAAGACCAAGGAAGCATGCAGGTGCCTGGGGGCTTTTTTGGAAATGAGCACAATATGTGAGACTGTAATTGAACATGCTTAGTAACTACTTGCATTTGAACTTGTTTTTTGAAGTGTGAATGAATTTGTGTTATTCTCTTAAACCCATCATGTTTTGGAATTAAACTAAAATTTGGTCCACAAAAACTTTTTTTTTAAATTATATAGCCTTTACTCTTTGTAAATCACAAAAATTTAAGAGATTACAGTACAAGCAGAGCTGGATTGCAAAAGGTGCTCGGATACTTTTGCTTACATGGTTTGGAACCACTCCCTTGGCAACAAATAACTGGGTTTCAGCTTCACTTCATTTCCCTCTGAAAAATCAAATCATCTCACATTTACTTCATAACAGTTAATATTAAACATTACCTTTTTTACACAAAGCTATATATAAAATGGAGCTGCGGTGGCTCAAGTGGTTAAGACGCTGAACTGCAGGCTGTGGAAGGTCAGTACTTCAGCAGTTCGAGACCCGGGTGCCGCATGATGGAGTGAGCTCCCATCTCTAGTTCCAGCTCCTGCCAACCTAGAAGTTCGAAAGCAAGAAATTGCAAGTGGATAAATAGGTACCACTTTGGTGTGGGAAGGTAACAGCGTTCCGTGCGCCTTGGTGTTTAGTCATGCCGGCCACATGACCACGGAAACGTCTTCGGACAGTGCTGGCTCTTCGGCTTTGAAACGGAGATGAGCACTGCAACCCTAGAGTCGGATTCGACTGGCTGTCGAGCAAGGGACCTTTACCTTTACTATATATAAAATGTGGAGTGGCATACTATAGCCAGAAGCTAAACAGGGCTGGTACTTGAATGGGAGACTGCCAAGGAGGACTTTTCAGAGGAAGGCAATCGCTTGCCTTGACACCTCTATGCGGACTCTATATGTTGGCTGTGACTTGAGGACACTTTACACACACACACACACACAAATGACAACTCTCCCCATAGGATTTTAACTGTTTGTTTCCAGGCTTCTTTTGGCTTCATAATGGGAGCTTGTAGCAAAATCCGATTAACTGTGTAGTATTCTTGAGGTACCCAGCCACTGTGTGATCCCTGCTTAGTTGGGGATGTTTGAAAAAGGAGAAATACAGTCACAAGAAGTGAGGAAAATGGTCTCAACCAAAAACAAATTTGGGTGGGGGGAAATAGACCATGGCAACAAAGAGGATTGCAAAAAGTTGAATGTTTTCACAGTTTCTGCTTCCTTCCTGAGTCCACTGTTCTTTGGGGCACTGTAGCACTAGGCATTACAGGGCTCTGGTACTATATGACTCAGAACCACAGGCAGGAGAATCATATGATCAAAAACTTTCTCAGTAAAATATCCCACATGCACAAAACTCTAGAGGTATTGGCAGGGGTCATTTCGTAGAAAAAGAGCTAGGGGGACTCATTAGCATAACTCATTAGCATATGCCACACCCCCTGACATCACCGGAAGTGTGTCCTCCCCACAGCCGGCGGCGACCTCCAGCGGGCACCAGCAGGGAGCTCCAGGTCCCGCCTTCCCGTACCTCACCCGGGGGGATGGCGTCCCCCCGCGTCCCCCCCCCCCAAATGACCCCTGGGTATTGGTAACACTATGTTCTGTTTGATGGTCTTGGTGCAGTTTTTTGTTTTGTTTTTTTAATTATGGATGAAGACTCGAACCTGTGAACCTTCTCTTCTTCAGCAGTTGTGGTATTAGAGCCCAGGAACATGTTTACCATGAGATTTGCTATTAATATAGGCTGGGCCTTAATTTTTGATAAAGTTTGGGGTTGGCAATACCAGCATCCTTGCCCTAAACCCAATTGCCTGGGGGTCTATTCCACTCTCATAAACATGGTTTTCTTTCAAGCAAGCATGTTTGGAATCAAGGTGTTAATTGGACCATCTGGCTGAAAAACGGCTGGTTATAGGAAATTTTCTAACCTACCAGGAGATGTTGCTTAAGCCAAAGTATCTTAGTTGGAGAAAGCAATGCTAGTAGTGGCTAAATACTGGGGAATTTGGTGTAGGCTAAACAACAGGGACACACTCTACTGTCTTAACTGAGCCTATGCTCGGTGGCTTAATTATTTG